ATATATATATATATATATATATATATATATATATATATATATATATATATATATATATATATACTATATATATTTTTGGTAAGTAAAAGGAATTAAAGTTGTGATATGACATATTCCATTCAAAACTTGAAATTAGTTAAAGAGGATACATTGTTGTCTATGTCCATCAGACTCCATTTTAAACTATTTTAATGATGTAAGACAACATCGTTTGCAACTTAAATAAACAATTTTGTTAAGAATGCATATATAGTTATGTTTTGTAATCGTTTGAAATTTTTTGCCACTCTTTCATATTTTGTATATTATTTGGTCTACCCTAAAACAAAATTTTGGCTACGCGACTGGTTATACACCTACTTTATGCTTGCAATAACTTTATCAATTAATATCTCCAATTGTAAATCACTTTTATTTTCTTAAGTACGGTAGACCATTGCAAAATTTAATTTAATCTTAGCATCCCCCTTACATGGCTTCCAATAGTTCGCCCGTATCCTATTTATATAGATGTACAAGCCATTTCAACATTAAATAGTGTCTTTCTTTCATTATGTTTCTTGATCACCTCCATAAAATTTGAGGTAATCTGTTGCATGTATTTTTCAAGGATTATGGATGTTGGTCATTTTGAATTTAAATATTAAAGAAATAGTGAAAAATATTATTAGTATTCTGTGATATACTAGGTATGTATGGTTTTTTATAAGCACATAAAATGGTATATGAAGAGTTTCATAAGACATTATCCTAATAAGGTCTAGGAATGTATGGAATTATGACTATCATTTCATAAACAAATAAAATTAATGTTTAAACAATAATTAATATCTAGTAAAAGAAGTAACACTATAAGGGTCTTTTTAATGTTATAGCTAATAATGGGTATTGTGTGAGCTTATCCTTATAAACAACAATAACCTACAAATAAAAAACACATTCAATATTAGTAAATTTTCAAAAACTTACATTTTCTAACTAATAATTAATAGCGAGAAGGATGAGATTCGACTTTCAAGTTATCAGTAAAACTAAACACGACATATGGAAGGATTTCAAAAATTGAAAGTTGTTCAAGATTAGTGTCATGATCTATTGGCAAGGTTTGAGGAAAAGGGTGAGATGCTTCAACAACTAAGTTGGTTCATGTACTATATAAGAAGGTACATTTCACACTTTTATCTCCTTGGCTCTAGAGTTAAGGCTGTAGACATCCTTGTGGCTTTGATCAATCTTCTCGATGTGTTTTGTCAAAAAAATCAAGAGGATTGTGACATTTCTAAGGAGATCCATCCATGTTTTAAGGTTCATGGTATTAAAGGTCGTAAGGTTCATGGTTTAATATTAATTTTTTATTTTAGAAGCTTAGATGTAGTTCTGCTTCTTCTTCTTCTTCTTCTTTTTATTTGCAAAGGTTTAACCTTTTGGTGTTTGTAAAATCTTCAACTTTAAAATAAACATTGTTTGGGTAATTATCATGAGAGAAGAAAAAAATAAAAGAGATCAGTAAAAATACATTCGATTAGATAATGTTGTCATCTTAAATTAGTTTTCTAACCATAGAGAAGACAATGAGCTTGAATTAGAATGAGACGAGAGACAAAAGCGAGATAAATGAGGGTGAGGAAGTATGATTCTTAATGGATGGGTTTGAGAGAGAGAGAGAGAGAGAGAGAGAGATGTGAAATGACAAAAATACCGTCACATGAGAGACACGCAAGGTGAGTTAATGGATGAGAGATAACAAGGGTTACCTCTAAGGACCAAAACCATAATAAAATCTATTAAAAAAAAGAAAGATAAAATTTGTAATTTTGGAACCATATGGACCAAAACTCCAAAATATCAAACCATACGGACCAAAACTTTCTTAAATATTTCTAAAAAAATTAAAGTAGCTTATAATTAACAATTGAAATTATTTTTAAAAGATAATTGATTTTTTTAACGAGACACGCATACATACAATTTAAACTATTTCTAAACTACTTTTTAATTCCACTTGAGACACTTCCAAACCGTTCCTTAATTTCACTTATATCCTAGACACTTGAATCTTCCATTTCATGGAAAGATAACATCTCATCATACCTCGGGCAGTATGAAAAAAAAAATCCATACATTGCACATTAACGTATACTCAACTTCACCAACACTTTAACAAGCTTTATAGGCATTGGTCCATGGCAAATCCATTGCTGAAACAATTATTGACGGATTACCAATAGATTGCCAACATATTACCAATGGATTTATACTAAATTTATATTTGATGAAATTTTTTGAAAGGTAGTCCTACTGCCCAAACTCTATGCTAGATCCGATACCTTTAGGACAAAAGCATGTTGGTAAAAAATAAATGATATTAGAATGATGTAAAAGATAATGGACGTGTTTTATAGCGGGTTTTTTGAGTTTTTAAATTTTAGTTTTTTAAAAAAAAAATTGATTTTACTTCGTTTTGGAGTACGATTTTTTAGCATCTTGTTTAATCAAGAGCTCAAACAAAAGCTCCAAATCTAATAGGTAATTTATATAGTGTTTAAGAAAAAACTATTAAGTTTTTTTAATCAATTTGTAGAATTGTCTATAAAAAATATATTTGTGTATTTATCTTTTTTAAACAATTATTTTTATATAATTTTATATATTTAAAAAATTTTCAACTACTACCATATGTATAATAAATAAAAGTCATAACTTACATGTATGTTTACATCTATCTATGGTCAATTTTGTCAAAGACGATTGAAAAAAAAAAGAAATAAAAAAAAGATAAAGATTTGACATTGCTTAATGGGATTATGGGAACAAAAGGAAGCACGTGCAATTCCATTTGGTAGTTACCCAGTCACATGTGCAATCCGAGCTCCAATTCAGTCCACAATCCACATATATAATCTCCAATTCCTTTCCAGTTTCCACCATACTCATTACTATCTTCAAACTTATCCTCTCACAAAATCACTCGAATGAACCATGGCTCGTTCCTCCAGATTCCTATCCACCGTCGTCAACTCCCCCTCAACCGACACGTCAGTAGCAGAACCTCCTGAAGCAGTCACCATGGAGTCCGACTTCGTCGTCATACTCGCTGCTCTCCTCTGCGCTCTCATTTGCGTCGTAGGCCTAATCCTGGTAGCTCGATGCGCATGGCTTCGCCGCGGATCTATCGCCACCGGTCGTCGGATCGCCGGACAGACGTCTGCAAATAAAGGAATTAAGAAGAAGTTCGTTGATGCGCTTCCAAAATTCTCGTATGATTCTGATTCGGTTAAGGAACACAATTTCTCCGCCGTTGAGTGCGCTATCTGCCTGGCGGAGTACGCAGTCGGAGATGAGATCCGATTGCTGCCGCAGTGTGGTCACGGATTTCACGTCGGATGTATTGATGTGTGGCTCGGTTCTCACTCCTCGTGTCCTTCGTGTAGAGAGATATTAGTTATCACGAGATGCCGGAAATGTGGTGATTTCCCGACGGATTCCGTCGGACAAATTGCTCCGGCGGCGGAGGTTAAAGGTAGGCAAATCAATATTGGTTCTAGTTCGAATGAGTTTTTACCGTGATTTATGTGTAAAGGAAGTGAAAATCATGTCGACGTTCATGCTTCAGTGATCGGATATTTGTCCGGTTATAGAAGTTTATAGTCGGTGATACGGTGGATATTCGTGTAATGTACATACAGGAGTTTGTCATGTAGCTTTGAAAAAAAAAATCTCGACGCTCGAGAATTTCGAAATTTCGATCCATCAAAAACTTTATTTTATTTCCATTTATGTTATAATCTATTTTAATTAAGTTACTTTATACGTACAATTGAAATTATATATTTCATTTACACTATAAATGTTAAAACCAATTGATGCATCTTTTCTTTTTATTCTAATAAATGAATTATTTTTTTTTGCCACTTGTCACACTCTTATTCAATTTTTCAAATGATTATTTTGAATTAATTTTTATTCCACATGTCATTTTATGGTTTTCTAAATGCAATAATAAATGCATATTAATTTTCTTAATGAACTTTTCTTTTAATTTCAAAATAACTAAATTAAAGGTTCATTGATTTCCTTTATTTATCTATCTAAATTATTTGTTTAAATTTAGAGAAAAAAACACTTTAATTTTATAATTCAATATTTTTCTCATTTTTTTTTATAAATTCAAACTTTTTAAATGTTTAGAATTTTATATTTAGATTTTTTCTTTTAAATAAACTCATGTAATACATGAGTCTCATACCTAGTACTATAATACTAACAAATGATAATCTATCTTGTTTTTTTAAGTTTGTTAAGTTAACATGTTCAAAAAATATATAAGTTTGTTAAGTTAACATGTTAAAAAAATATATAAAAAGTGGGTTGTAAGTTGGGTTTTTAAAAAACTATTTATAATAGTTTTTCAGAAGTCTATATTTTTTTTTGTTTTTTTCAAATATATCTTTAACTAATTATAAAAAAACATATTATTGTAAATATCATTTTATATATTTCAACTAGTTTACCAAAAGTTACTTTTTATCAACTAACTTATAAACTAACCGTTATTTTTTTAGTTAACAATTATTTTTCAACTATCAACTACTTTTTCAGCTAACAACAACTTTTTTCAATTAGTATGCTAAACATAACTAAGTTAATGATATTTAGCAATTAGCATATATAGTTAATAACATACAAGTTACAACAACTAATGCATCTTTAGTATATACTAGGTGCATTTATAGTTAGAGTTGTTCACTATTTAGATAAAACCGAATTGTCCACTTGAACAATTTGGATTGGACTATTTGGTTAATATATTTGGATTTTTGGATTTGTTTTCAACAAAACCGAATTATTATTTTGGATTTCTGATTGATTTTTGTTTATAAAATAAGAACCGAAATGTCAAAAAAAAACCGAATAACAATTTATTATTTGTTTATTTTTAATATATCAATAAGTATTTATTAATTTTATAATTTATTTTTTCAAATAAGTTCAAAAACTTTTACCTAATAAAAACCATTAATATGCATTTTCTCTAAAAAAATTTATCTATTAAATATTAAACTATAATATACCTTCTTAGTAGTTGTTTATAAATTTTAAATCACAACTAAATAAATTGTTTTTTGCTTTTTCTATAAAAATTGGATAATATTATAAGTATATGTCGTTTTAAAATGTTCTGATTTTTGAAAATCAAATTATAAAAACCGGTCCATCCGAATTGTAATTGGATCAGATTGGATCGGATTTAAATTTAGTTTGGACTATTCTGGTCCATATTTTGGAAACCGAAATCAATTTGAATTTACTTAATTGGATTGGATCGAACCGATCGATCCAAACGAACACATCTATTTAGAGTTATGCGATGATAAAATGTGCTAATATTGACAGATTTATTTTGTTTAAAATAACTAAATCACTATTCATTATTAATTATATATATATATATATATATATATATATATATATATATATATATATATATATATATATAT